TTTTTTTTTTTTTTTTTAAACAAATGGCTTCCAGAGACCTGTTGGGAGTCTGACAGGGTAAGGAAGCCAGCTGAGTTTATGGAATGTGCACCATGTACCCCTTGGAATCGAGGCAGGGCCCGACCCTGTCTGGGAGAAGACACAAGGCTATAACGGGGCAGGGTCCAGGGCCCTGCGGGGATGAATGGGACAAGTCCCAGGATGTAGGAATCCAGTCAAAGCCCCACAAAACGACCCCCAGAAAAGCAAAAAGTAAGGGAGGAGAAAAAGGAAAACATTAAGGGGGCTGCAGGGCCCGGTTCAGTTCTGAGGCCAAGTGAGAAGTGACCACACCCCCCTCGCCCCTCTAGGAGTGCCGCCCACACTGTGACTGCATCTCCAACCATTCCCAGAAGGTTCCCTAGAATCACTGCCCCTATCTGGTGGGGTCCTGTAGCCCGCTGGGAGCCATGAAGACAGGAAGCCCCAGGGACAGAGAGAGTGGGGTCAGGGGGTGTACCACCTTCTCCTCCTCCAAAGCCCTTCATTTCCTTCTTGCTGGCAAAGCCTGAACTTTCATCCTCTGTCCCCACCAATTAAATGCCCTGGCCCCAGCCCTCGTGTTAAAACTCAGGCTGGAACCTGAGAGGAGGGCTCTTAAGAAGCACAGAGAAACAGACTGCCCTTGAAACGGACTTGCTTATGGAGAGACGCAGGGAGTAGAGGTCAGCAGCTCTGGCTGCCCCCAGCCCTCTTCAGGAAAAAGGTCCTGGCCCAGCGTCCTCAAAAGTCACTGGAGCACAGTGGGGGGAGAAAGGGCAACCTCTGGCCAGCCTCGGCCACTCCGGCAGTCCCCACTCTTCTGGCTGGGACACAACAAGGAGGGGGACGCACAGGCTGTGGATGCCACAGAGCCGGCAGGAAGTGTGCGGAGCAGGTCCGAAGCGTGCGCGAGCGGACTCGGGCGGCCTGAAGACAGCCGTCCTCTTCCCCCGCCCCAGGGTCCCGGCGGAGGCCCCCCAACCCACCCAGCCCTCCCCAGTCACCAATTCCGGCAAAACAGCAGAAGCTTCTTAAACTCTAGATGCAGGTTACACGGAAGGCCTTACGGGTTAACTCAGGGGTTCACTAATTCTACTGTCTCCATGCAGTCGGGGAAATGGTGGGGCGGCTGGCCCAGCCTGGCTGGCTGCAGCGCCGCACATGCGTGTGGCCACGTGTGTACATGTGAGTGTACGTGTCTCTACAAGGACCCCCCTCCCCGCCTGCTTTCCCCTCGCCTCATCCTAAGCCGGATTCGGTCGGCCGTGTTGAATCTTCCCTCCCACGAGGCTGGCCCAGGTGGGCTGCCCGAGGTGACCCCGATTGAGCAAAGGGCCCTTGCTGCCAAGAAGTCCCACCCCCCTCCCCTGTTTGTAGGATGAGTGTGGAGACCCCACCCACTCGCCCGCTGGCCGGCAGGCCACACACACCCGTGGCAGGTAGGTGGACGGGGAAGGCGTCTGGATTTGGGTCCCGCTCACTCCTCCCTAACCCCCCTCGACCAGGGCACGGCGACTTCCGGACGCAGCGTGCGCCCCAGCAACCCCGCCAACGACGCAGACAGAAACCTGTGGGGAAAGGCGGGGCTCAGGGCCTGCACCCCTCCGCCCCCCTACAACAGCCACAGCGCCCTCGCGGGCAGCCTCCTCACCTGGCGGTCGCGAGGCTCATCTAGACCCCGTAGAAGGCGGCCAGCCTCTCCTTGAGCAGAGGCGGGAACTGCTCAGAAAACTGCTGCCAGTTCTCCTCCCCGACTTGGTCTTTGAAGCCGTGGAGAATCTGCGGGGAGGCCGGGGGGCAGGGGGGTGAGGGGCGCCCCGGGCCAGGGCGAGAGGAGCTCGGCCTCCCTCCCCCCGACTCGCAGGGATCGCGGCAGGGCCACGGGGGAGCTCACCTTATAAAACATGTCCCGAAGGTCATCCTTCGGGCTCACCCAGGAAGCCACGGCGTCGCAGAAGAAAATAAAGTCCTGAAACACGACAGGTCCCGTGTGAGGGGCCGCCGGGCCCGGCCCCCCGTGCCTTCCCTCCAGGCCCAGCTGCCCCAACCTGCACGACGCCCCCAGGGTTGACGCCTATCATCATGCAGATGCCTCGGAAAGCCGAGTCCTTCTCCTCGTTGTCCCTGATGTTCCTGAGGGACGTGCACCTGTGGGGGAGGTGAGCAGCAGGCAGTGAGCCGGCAGGGCTGGGGCAGGATGGGCATCTGTGGTGGAGGGAGGCAGGGGGGCGGGGGGGGTCAGTGGGGAGCGG